AAGCTTCAGTGAACGTGATGACGTATTTCTCGCCATTGAAACCCTCCGCAGGTAAGTTTAAAATATCACTGTAAACTTTTTCCATCAAGCAATAATCCTCAGCGCCACGAAAATGAGTCGGGTACGGTTCGTGCGGTAGATTTGCTGCTGGGCAGATTAAGCAGGGTGACGGACGATTGACTGGTTTCATTTCGAGGCCGCCAGGTAAGAGAAGCGAATTCTTGTCGAGAACAGCACCTTTGATTGTGTTGTTGAGCGTAGACTGCGACGGATGACCAAGACGCATATGCCATGTGTCTGCAGTTGCTTTGTGTCCCTGTGCGCGCAGATAATAATCGGCGTTAGCGAAGAAAGATAACAGCAGCCGATGACCGTCAGCTCGAACATGATCCGTGACAGGTGAGATAAACCTGGTAAGGTTAGGTGGTGGAACTTTTATGTCAACGTCGACGTATTCGCCAAGAGAGAGAACTAACTCCCCACTCTCTTGATCTGATGCTGCAGGTTTAGGCTCAATGCCGACAAGTCGTCCGGAGTCAAGGACTTCCATGTCAGTGACACGCTGCTCTGCTTCAGTGAGAAGACGTCGATCACGATCAGCAGGTGTTTCTCCCCAAGTGGTCTCGTCAGGTTCCTGTGCCCCCCAAGTGCCTTCATCCGTGGGCATATTCGTCGTATCTCCCCAACTACCAACTTGAGCAAGATAATCTCGAGAGTTCTGGACGTCATTCAAGCCTTGATTGTCGAAGGTCAGCATGACAGCGGCAGCCGTGGTTGAAGACGTGGGTACGACTCCTTCACGAGGAACGGTATCATCGGTGTAATCGATGTCATCACGATGTTCCCATGGGCCGAGAGAGAGAATATTGTCGGAGTCGGCAGTGGTGCGTTCAGGTACGAAGTTGAGAACGAATATTTCAAAGTAAATTTTCCAGGTTCGCCAAGAAAAGTAATCCCATTCCTCATGAGCTGTGCAGATGACATTAGATTGAAGCCAAGTCGAGGAACGAGAAGTACATCATTAAGGTGAAGACTGAAGTCTTCTTCAACGGAATCAAGAATGATGTTACCCATCCAACGTGCTGTAAGGCGTTGATTGTTGGCGACGGTGACAACGCATGGGTTCTGAAGACGACGCTGATTGATGACGAAACGGTTTTCTGAGGAACACATATGCTGGCCGCAACAACTGTCGAGATACCATGTGTTGGGACCTTCCAAGGTATGTGCAAGGTTGGCGTAGACCTCGGGTGGTATGGGCGTATTGAGTTCATCGTTGAAGTTATTATGAACACGTTCTTCGGCGTCAGGATCGTAGACGGTAGAAACTGACGTCAAACAATTAATAACTTCTTTCGCTTGAGTCTTGACAGATGTAGCAGGCGGCTTCGCAGAGTTCGGCTTCGCAGTGTTCGGCTTCGCAGCTTCCAGCTTCTCGGCTTCCGGCTTCTCAGCTTCACCTGAAACAACAGTTAAAAGTTAGAAACGAGAAAGAGGGTTTGCACTAGCAGGCAGTTGAGTACATATAGGAAACCCTAGATTGGGCTGTACTCACTATTGAGTACCCCACTGCAGGCTAGACAAATATAACATTCTGACACACCCCCATAGTCAAAGTGGGGTGTAATCAGCACAACAAGCAGAGCAAAACAAGCTGAGGGTGGATCACAAAGTCACCACACATTCTGATCACAAGTACAGGAAGTAGCAGTTTATAGTTCACAAATACAAGCAAAGGTAGAGGATATCACAGAGGGCAAGTGAGGAGGAGGAGGCTGGACTGATAGGAAAGGAGAAAAGAGGCAACGGCTGAAGTTGCAGACACACGGGCAACAGGAGCGGCGCGCACAGACCGCTTCCAAGATGGTTTATTCTTCGACCAGCAGGTATCGATAGTATGACCTGCTTTTCGGCAAAAGGAACAAACGGGCTTGTTACGTGGAGTGGAATAAAATCTGACTGTGTTATTAACCACCTTTTTCCCTCCTCGAGCGTTTTGCAGGTCCATATCCTGCTGCTCGGCGATGAGAGCGGCACAGAGTGCCCCCTCAGACAACGTTGCTTGCATCCGAAGAATAGAGCGACACTGTCGCCATTCTGGTCCAAGACCCGCGAGTAGCACCGTGTGAAACATAGCGTCGGGGAAGTATCCTCCACACTTCTGAAGCTGGTCACGCATATTTCGAGCGCGGTTGATATACTGCGTCACCTTCTCGCCGTTTATCATCTGTATATTTGACAGCTGCGTTAAGATTTTACTCTGGTTGACGGTGTCCTTTGCCATGTAAACCCCTTGCAGGTATAACCAAGCTGATTCAGCAGGAGCGGTACTGGTACGAAAAGGACGAATTCCAAGCTGTTCAGTCGGTGTCATATTACGAACGAAAACTGTGTATGCAGTCAGCGACGCCGATCGAAAAGTGGCCTGTTGAAGTAGTGAGCCGTGAGATGGAAAGGGTGCTGTACCGTCGAACAATTGCCAGAATCCCGCGGTCTGAACAAGAAGCTCGAATTCGAAACTCCAGGTATAGAAGTCTTGACAGTTAAATGGTATTGTCGTTTTAATCTTTGTTGGGTTTGCAGTAGCAGGAAGATAGTTTCCGGTGCCGTCAGCTGACTGTAACTGATAAAGTGATGGCATCTGCGACCCTTGTAGTGTTTGTTGTCCTTGTCCAGCGGGAACAAAAGAGAAGGAGTTGTTCGACCCGTCGCTCCCTTGTGGCATCTGTCCATGCTGATAACTGGAACCATCAAGACTCATAGGAGTTGGAAACATCTGGTTAAGTGACAAGACGGCAGCATTGACACGTTGTTGAAGATTTGTTGGCTGCTAAGCACCTTGATATTGATATGGTCCAGTCGGTACAAAATTAGACTGTTGTCCTGGTTGATTAGTAGAACCAATTACTGCAGCTGCAGCTGTTGTGGCTGCTGATGCCGCTGTTGCTGCGGCTGCTGATGATGATGCCGCTGCTGCGGTTGTGTGTACGGACTGATTGCTCAGTGGCATGCCATACATCGGTTGTTGCTGATATTGTTGTTGCTGATGTTGCTGCAGATGAGAATTGTCAGCAATTGGAGACGCTGTTGGGCGTGATGGGCTCGTAACAGAAGAGCCGTTGTTGGATCGTGGAGAGCCAGACATAGTTGCAGAGTATGTAGTTGGAAGCTTGTAGAATCCTAAGACGCTCGCAATACCATGTTAGAATTTGAAATGACTGAATAGGATCGTATACTTAGGATGGTAGCTTCCTGTCGTAGCGGAAGTCTTTGTATAAGTTAAAGCCAGTTATAGGAGGCTTTGTCTGGACTAATAAAAGCCCATGTAGTGATACGTTTCGGGATCTATGTCTCTGAAATCAAGTATATTATAAAATGACAAGCATACAGAATATATAGCTAGAGTAAAGTACCTTTTCGCCTATTGTACTGTGCTATTCTCGCTATTCCTGTTCTGAAACGGTACGTGACTATTCGCGAGGCCTATAGCTACGTGCTGACGTCATCATAGGGCGCGTAGCGCTTTGCTGACATCAGCATATCGGTACTTTACTGTACTACACGAATTTCCTTGAAGTGCTTAAGTCTCGATATTATCTCAACACTACCCAGGTCTATTCATATGACATTTTTTAGTATAAGGGTTTTGATAAATGGACAGCTTGGGTGTTTTCAAAGTTGGTTTAACATCACAGTCAGAGGCAAGAACGCGAGTTTCGACACCAACATTCCCCCCCCCCTTGAAATTTCCAGGTGGCACCTCTTTGGCCACTTGTTAAAGCTTTTGTATACATTTGCAAGTACTGTTTAGGGTTGTACTGTAGCCTGGGTAAATTTCGCCAGAACGAAACAACGGGGGTTGGCGAGAGGATTGGCAAAAAATTGCACCCTTGAGGAGTTCCTCACACGGGAAATTCCCCCGTCACCCAACCTTGCACTCACACGCACACTCCGAAGCATACTAAGCGTCTAATAACGTTGGCTCAGGGTTGAGAGAGGAACCGGGGCGCGTTCGAATAATACCCGGAGCATCAAAACCGCCCATACAGTCGCATCTGAGACGGGGTTAGGTACATTATAGGCTGGTCCATGCGCTAAAATACTATCTAGCTTGCCCGCCAGCACCATTCCGCCGCAGTGGCGGAAAGCAATCCGAGTCGACGACGGAAAGGCTCCGCATTCATCTAGCGCGTCTTCAGTTTAGGCAGTGTGGTCTGGCCCGTCGAAGCCCTGTCAAGGGCGCCTCGACGGGGTGCATCACCAAGCAGGGATTGATAATTTAGGCGTCGACGAGGGGATCGCATAATTCCCATGCGCCGTTCGCCCCCCCGCCCCTCTCAACACCCACTCGGTAGGCATTTCCCACTAAGCGCGTCACCCACTGCGCGGGTCTCCCGCTTACCGCCTTCAACGCGAAGAGCCTCTCCCGCTTAGCGCCTCACCCTCTGTGCGCCATGCCAGCGTCTCACTCGCTGCGCGCATTTCCCGCTTAGCGCCTGACCCGCTGCGCGCCTCTCCCGCTTAGCTCCGCACCCGCTGCGCGCCCCTCGCGCGCAACAAATCACCCGCTGCGGGCCTGTCGCGCGTACCGCCTCGCCCCCTGCGCGCCGGCGCCGTGTGCCGCCTCGCCCTCTCCCGCTTAGCACCGCACCCTCCGCGCGCCTTCCCGCGTAGCGCATCCTCTTCTAATTACCCCTCCCTCGCCCCCTTTATCCCCCCTGCTCCCCCTCACTACCCCGCCTACTCCCCCTCCTTTTGCCTCCCTTCTCCCCCTTATTTGCCGTTGTTCGTCCCTCTCTTTCCCTCCTCCCCCTCATTATCCATCCTACTCCCTCTCATTTCGCCTCCAGCTCACACCGATTACCCCCCTTCTCGCCTTGAGTCGTTCCCCTACTCCTTGTCATTACCCTCCCTCCTCCTCCTCATTTTGCTCCCCGTCCACCCTCTCTTCGCCCCCCCTCCTCCCCCTCATTTTACCCCCCTTCTCCCCCTCATTTCAGCCCCTTTCTCCCCCCCATATCCACCCTTCAGTTCTGCATTATCCCTCCTTCTCCTCCACCTTTTGCCCCTCTTCCACTTCTCATTTCCCCCCATTCTCCCTCTCATTACCCCCCCTTGTCCCTCTCATTTCACCCCCTTCTTCCCCTCCTTTATGTACCCATTTTTCCATAACAAACCCGACTCAGATCGCTCACAAATCCCCCTTTTCTCCCTGTCATCCTCCCCCTTCCTTCTCCCTGTCATTACCCCACTACTCCCTCTCAAAGCCCCCTTGCTCCCTCTCAGTAACCCCACTGCTCCCCTTCATTTCCCCCCCTGCTCCTTATCACTTCCCCCACTTCTCCCCCTCATTACCACCCTTGCCGCCTCACACTTTCCCCATTGCTCACTCTCATTTCCCGCCTTGCACCCTCTTGTTTTCCCCCTTGTCCCCCCCTCGTCTCCCCCCTTTCTACCAGGCAGTTCTCTCCCTGCTCACACTGACATACGCCCCCTTCTCCGTCTCACTTCCCCCCACGCTCATCCACATTCCAGCCCTTCTCCCTAACATTTCCTCCCTTGCTCCTCCCAACTCCCCCCCTTCTCCCTCTCATTTCCCCCTTGCTCACGAGGATTTTCCCCCTTCTCCAGCTCAATTCCCCCCACCTCCCTCTCATTTCCCCCCTTCACCCTTGCGTTTCCCCCCATTCTCCCTCTCATTACCCCCCACCCCCCCCCCCCCTCCCCCCCCTTTGTCCCTCTCAATTCACCCCCTTCTCCCCCTCCTTTATCTACCCTTATGTTCCTCTCAAATACCCCTTTTATCCCTCTCAGTTTCCCCCTTACTCCAGCTCATAACCCTCTTTCTCCATCTCATTTCCCCCACGTCGCTCCCTATCAGCCCCCCGAACCACCCCCCCCCCTGTCACCACCATCTTCCCCCCCATGCTCCCACTCATTGCCCTACCTTCTCCCCCACATGTCCCCCCTTTCTCCCTCTCATTTCCCCCCCATTCCCCTCGTCCCCACATTGCCCCCCTAATTTCCAACCTTGCTCCCTCTCAGCCCGCCCCATTCTCGCCCTCATTTCCCCCTACTCCCTCTCTGTAACCCCACTGCTCCCCATCATTTTCCCCCTTGCTCCTTTTCACTTCCCCCACTTCTCCCCCTTATTACCACCCTTGCCGCCTCACACTTCCACCCTTTCCCCCCTTGCTCCCCCTCATCCCGCCCACTTCTCACCATCATTTCCCCCCTCTTCTGATCCTCATTTTCGCCCTTCCCCCTTCCTATTCGGACCTTGCTCCCCGCCATTTCCCCCCATGCTCCTTCTCACTTTCAACCGTGCTCCCCCTCAGTTCCACCCTTGCCGTCTCACACTTTCCCCCTTGCTCACTCTCATGTCCCGCCTTGCACCCTCTTGTTTACCCCCTTGTCCCCCCCTCGTCTCCCCCCTTTCTACCAGGCAGTTCTCTCCCTGCTCACACTGACATACGCCCCCTTCTCCGTCTCACTTCCACCCACGCTCATCCACATTCCAGCCCTTCTCCCTAACATTTCCTCCCTTGCTCCTCCCAACTCCACCCCTTCTCCCTATGCTTCCCTCGTATTTGATTGAACACCCCTTGCTATCCCAAATATATTCCTTTTACAGCTCGCCAAAACATACCCACCGCGATCTAGCGCGCAAGCTTAGGGATCTTACACTGGTGAGACTCCGTCCAACTTCCCTTCCCTGCCTTGCCATCCCCCCAACCCTGCCCTTCATCGACTGCCATGCCCTTTCCCTACTGCCCTTCCCCTCCCCGCTATTGCCTTCCCTCTCTACACATGTCTCCCCGTACCTTAGTTCACCACTGCACTCTTGTCCACCCCATCTTCCCTCCCTTGCAGGGGCCCATTTTACAATAGAAAATATGTCAGCAGGGTGTAAGCCCTTATTTCCCATCATTACTATGGGTCTCTCTACTCCAATCCCTTCTTCCTCATACCTCCACATCAAGTTGTCTTCTCACCTCACATGCCATCACATCTACCGGTTATTCTTGGAGTCCTCCATGCCCTCCCATCTCATTTGCCCTCCCTTCCTGCCCCTTATTTGTAGGATGCCGCATTGACATGGTGCAAGGGACCGCGCATGATTACATACCCACCATGACGAGATCTATATCCTCCTCCTATTCGTATCCCCCATTCATGCTCCGCCGCACCCATGCGCTACCCCTGCTTCCCCCCTCCATTCCATCCGCTGTCGGTACAGCAGGGATTCTCATCGGAGAGTGCAATTCATGGGGCATCCAAAAAAAATGTCTGTGGAGACATGGACAAAGAGGGTGAAGGAATTGGTGAAGGATAAGGAACAGGGAAATCTGTCGATATCAAAGCACATGCAGATTCCTATTTGTTACTTGCGATGTGGCTTTTCACATCGCAAGTAACACCTCTTTTCACCATCATATCCCCCTCCCCTCACCATCATTTTCCTTCCTCCCTTGCTCACACACATTACCCCCTCTTCTCCCCCACGTGTCCCCCCCTTCTCCCTCTCATTTCCCCCCCTTCGACCCCTCATTACCTACCTGTCTCCCCCTACTACCCCCCTTTCTCCCCCCCATTTATCCCCCTTCTCCCTCTCCTCCCCCCCCCCCCCCGCCTTCCCCTACTCAAATCCCCCCCTTCGGTGCTCTCATATCCCCCTTTCTTCCCTTTCCCCTCTTCTCTCTATCATTCCCCTGCTTCTCCCCCTCACTTCCTCCCCCACTCCATCAACATTCCCCCGTTTCTCCCTCTCACCCCCCCCCCCCACCTTCCCTCATTTTCCCCCCTTCTCCCTCTCATTCACCCCCCTGATCCCCTACATTTCGCCCCATGCTCCTTCTCACTTCCCCCAATTCTCCCACTCATTTTCTCTCCTTCTCGACGACATGTCCCCCCCTTATCCCTCTCATTTCCCCCCCTGCCCCTTTCATTACCCCCCGTGTTCCCCTCATTTCCCCCCTGTCTCCCCCCTGTTTCTCCCTCTTCTCCCACTCATTTCAACCCCTTCACCATCTCAAGTTCCCCCCTCCCATCTCTCAGATCCCCCTTTTCTCCCTCTCAAACCCCCCCCCCCCCCTCCCCCCCTCTGGTCTCTATCATTTCCCCCCCCTCATTTCCTCCCACGCTCCAACACAATTCCCCTGTTTCTCCCTCTCAGCCCCCCCCCCCCCCCTTGTTTCCCGTTTCCCGTTGAACATCCCTTGTTATCTCATTTATATTCCCTGTAAGGGCACGCCAAGACGAGTAGGCCGTGGTCTACCACGAGTCAGCGGCATACTTCCCCTTCCCTGTCAAGCCATCCCCCCATCACTGCCCTTCCCCGACTGCCATGTTGTTTCCCTACTGCCCTTCTATTTCGTATCGTCCATTCCATCTCCGCCGCGCGGATTTGCGGCCCTGCTTTCCCCCTCCATTCCCTCCGCTGTCCAAACCACGCAGGACTTGTAACGGGAAGGTCACTTCATGGGGCATCCAAAAAAAATATCTGTGGAGACATGGACAAAGAGGGTGAAGGAATTGGTGAAAGCAAAGGATCAGGGGAATCTAGCAATGATTCAACCTGGTGGGCAGCATGCAACATTGGGGACTGCGCCCGTATGTGAGCTCCATTCTCACCCATCCACTCAAGTATGGATTGGTTTGCATTGCCTGCTGCATGCTGCGCCTTCCTGCATCCCTTGCTCATGATGCGTCTGTGCTGTTTCTATGCTGCTATGGCAAATGACTACCGTTCCATCGACCCCTCCTTCTCCTGCCTGGTGTGTCCCTCCCGTGCTACCCCTTTCTGCTGGGTATGTCTTGCTGCCTGCTGCTTTCCCAATGTGGATCTGCACTCGCTGCTCGGCACCTTGCCTTCCACCCCCCACCTCACTCCCATCGGCCTTGCACGGGTGTATCTGCACTCACTCGGCGAAGGTCAGACTTGCCTTCTTTCCTGGCCCTCTTTTCATCCTATGTGGAAAAGGGAAAACTTGCCTCGTTTTTTATTTTCGTCGCATGTGGGTGGGGGGGACGGGAGGGGGTCTATGCAAATAGATATGACTAGAAGCAGGCACCATCTCCCTCCTTTCTTGCCTCCATCTCAGTTCAGGAGGTGTGAGTGGGTCTTGCCTCGTTTCCCTCCTCTCTTCCCTCCATCTCCCTCCTTTCTCGCTCCATCTCAGTTCAGGAGGTGTGAGTGAGGGTGGAGAGTTGTGACAATAAGGCGCGCTCTGTCCTTGTGACACAAAGGGGGCTGACCTGGAGGATAAGGAGCGGGTGGAGCTAAGAGAACAGCTGCAGGTGGTTATTTCACTTATGAGGCGCCTCAGAAGCAAGTGGGGGCTGCAGGTGGGTGCCTACCTTTCGTGGGGGTAGAATGGTGTACGCATGTAGAGCTGTACGGGGTAGAATGGTGTACGCATGTAGAGCTGTACGAATGTTTGTTATAGCCCTGGAAGGGTGGAGGGCGGTAAAGCGAGTGCTGAAGGGCGGGTGGACATGCGGCAGGAGAGTTAGGGTGTGGTGGGTACTGTGCATGCTGTTTTGAGCCCTGCTGGGAAAGGTTGTGCCAACATAAGGACGATTATACAGCTAGATGGGTAAGGAGGGCGGGTGGACATGCGGCACGAGAGCTAGGGTGTGCCGGGAACGTGCATTTGGTTCGATGCCTGCTGGGGCGGATTTTGCGAGATAGGGGACGGATTCGGCAGCTATCTGTAGGGCGATCGAGCTTGTAAATAGGGCTCCAGCAGCACCAGCAGCAGGCAGCATATGCAGAGGCGGCTGTAGACTTTCCTGTAGCAGAAGCAGCTGTGGCAGGAGCAGCTGTAGCAGGAGCAGCTGTAGCATTCACAGCGAAGTATAAGGAAAGTGAGCTAGTATCGGTGGTAATAGCAGTAGCAGTAGTTGGTGGCAAGGAGGATAGAGGTGTGGAGTGCGGTTGGAGAGAGGGTGGTGGTAAGGAGGAGAAGTGGGTTGGAGCATAATTGGAGTGTAGTGGCCGTTTAGCTGTAGAAATAGGGGCCTGAATATCAGGCGCCTTGATAATAGTCCCCAGTTTGGACTCTAGAGTTCGGATTGAGAATTCATTAACAGGAGGAGCCTGGAGCAGAGTAAAGAGCAGCAAGAGGTATGGATGGATGGGTGCTCAGAGGTCTTAATTAGTTTCAAGGGTATGGATTGAGTACCTTTTCCTTCCCTGTTTGTTTTTTTTCCTCCTCCTCTGTTTGTTTTCCTCTAGCCCTCCCTGTGCCGTGGTTAAAAAATCGATACTGTAGTACACTGCCCTCCGTCTCCCCTTGCCTTCAGGGCTCCAATAGGACACGGGCGGAAGGGCTTTCACTTCACTGCAGCGCCAACACGAAAGAACCATTCGCCTTAAAAAGTCATCTATTGAGAATGGTGTTGGGAGTATGTGGAGTGGACGGATGGGATGAATGGAATGGGAATAAGGCGCTGGTGTGAGAGTGCTTGTCTGGAGAGTGCTTATGGAGAATGTACTCCATGGTCGATAGAAGTGTGCTCTGCGCTGCGGATTGGTCGGGAGCGTGGTTGGTTGGCACACATTTTATGGCGTGCGTGTGTGCCTCTGATTTGGTTAGAACGGCACGGCGACAACCTTACCTGATTTGCTAACAATGCTGATATTCGTCGGTTCACTGACTTGCGGATTCGCTGCCTAGACTATACTGTCTCCTCGTATAAGAGGATACATCAAGGGTTGGTCACAGATTTAGTAGATGCTTTTGTTTTACTTAGCTAGCTAAGCCCTTCATTTCCCTATGCTTTATCAATAAATTTCAGCATAACTGCTGCGATGTATTGTACATGAGTGCAGAACATTTACGCCACATTCTGTGCAACATATTGCTTAGTTCCTAGAGAATCATAAAGTATAGATCCCTTCATCCGTGTGCTATGTAAATTCGTTACAAACAGTATTGACTACAATACATAAGCTATTATAGATACACTCCTTTTTGTTCCTAACGTGGTTTCGCACGGTCTAGTCCTCACCACCGCCAATAGCCATTGCCCTCCTGGTACGCACCGCAAATTCCAACTCATACTCCAGCTCCGCTTCCGCCGCCGCATCAACCGCTGCCTCTCTCCAGCCCGCATTTCCCAAACCTGCCACCTCATTATCGTCCTCACCTTCTCTGTCGTATCGTGTCAAACAACTAGTAGTGCTATCTGCTTCCTCATCGTGTAAAGCCCCATCTTCTCCCCAGAATACGTGTACGGGACGCACGTGCTCTTGCTCCTCGTCCTCCACCTCCTCCTCTTCCTCGTCTTCCTCCCCTGTCGCTTCTTCTACCCCCTGGCTTCCTCTATTTTCGTAGACGATCTCAATCCGTTTGTCATCAGACAATCTCAGTCTCCGTCTAATCTTCGTCAAAGAAGTGGATGGAGATGACGGACGGAAACGGACTGGAAACTCTTGCTGGTGCACGCGGACGAGCTCTGCTGACGAAATTTCGTCAAGCTCCGTCAAGGGAATCCCGTCCACTTCCGTCAGTGGTGCAAGGATTCCGTCCGCCGACGTCAGAACAGCTTCGTGTTCTGTTAATTCCACAAGCGAGCCGTTATCTGCCCGGAAAACATGAAACGACCTGAAGAAACCAGCCGCTTGGCCCCGCTTTTCCGCCGCTACTCCCTGAAGAAGTATGCTTTCCCGCGCGTGTGGTGCACGTGTCTGGATGAGTGAAGCACGTGGCCGTGCAACTGTTGCACGTGGCTGCGCGTGTGCTGCACGTGTCCGCACAGCCACTTCCTCGTAGTACAGCGCGCCTAGACTGCCGAACACCATCTCGTCGTTGTCACTCATTTCAGATTCCTCCTGCAAAGAACCATCAGCTGCTCGAAACATATGCAGCGGGACCGCAAGCTCCCCGTTGCCTCCCTTCTCAGCCTCCTCCCCCTCCCCCTCCGCCTCCTCCCCGTCCCCCTCCTCCTCCTCCCCCTCCCCCTCCTCCGTCCCCTCCACTTCGTTCTTCGTGAAGATGGAATGATCCGGTAACGTACTCGTGGCAAGGGCCATGCCTTTCTTGCTCCTCACCGCCGTATCTTCTAAATATAGCGCGTCTGCTCTTATCGCGGCCTCGAGCCAAGCGATATCTCCCGCGTCAGCATCCGTAGGGAATGACGTGTCCACAAGGTCAAGATTCAGAATTTCCGGATCGCGTTTCTCGGGGATCTCGATGAGGTCTATGGCGAACGGAGCGCGAAAGACGTGAAACGGAGATACTGTCGGGGTTCGAGTCGCAGTGTTATTAACGGCCGTCGTGTTTTCGTTTCCGACGCTCAACGGTACCAGCGCTTCGAAATGCGCGTGGGATCCGTCTGCTGCGGATCGCAGATGGGAAGCGGGGCTTGAGCGGATGGCAGGAGATGCGGGGAGCGAGAAGAGAGCTGCGGAGGCTGCAGCGATAAGTGGAAAGGCGAGGAGGAACGAAAGAAGGCGCGTAAGGTGGGATTGATGGAAAGCTGAGCGTTGCTGATTGGACCTGCGACGAGAGGCCATGGCGTTTTTAAAAGGCCGTTCCAGCGCAAGGGACTCCGGGCAATCGTCGGAACAGATGCTTGTGACGACGGTCGTGTCGGTCGTTCTCTCGCCGACGATGATCCAACGGCGGACCTGATTGCACCTAGATTTAAACTGCTAGCGGCGGGTTCACTACCTAAGGACCTCCTATGGACGCTCTCTAGTCACCGATTCTGATATCTTTATCCATGAGCGACGACCCTTGAAATTATAATGGTTCTTCGAAAGCACAAGTTGCGACTAAGCGAAAGCGCAGGTAAAACAGCAGAGGTTCCTGAGGGCATGCGATTCGGAACTCCAAATGGCGAGAGAGGGGTGACGCGTGGGCACAGCTGCATCTGGTGGTGCTGTGGTTCTCACAACAAGACCATGGACACATGGACACATGTGGTATCGATCCAGCAGCATCATCCAGCACATGGACACATGGCTATGCCTCATGCCTGTCGTAAGAAGAAAACGACCGAACTTTCTTTGCGCGGACTGCGGCAGGCACAGGCTAGGCTAACTTGTAAAGCACCAGAGTCTCCCGGGGTAGACTTTTGCAATCGATGCGTTCCCTCGCTCTGTCATGAATCAAGAAATCAGAGTCGCCTTCGAAATCATGAATCAAGAAATCAGAGTCGCCTTCGAAACCAAAAACGAAAATTTGTGGCAGAAGCTCTCTGCTGCATGCGGCTCGTTCGCTGAATTTCAAAGTTGCGCTTCGCACAGTATTCGATGGAGGGCCCCGATGGGTTCTCCATTTGCGCTTCGCGAGACGCGTTCTTTGCTGTCAGAAACGCAGCAGTGGCTTCTCAATTAGGTCATCATACAATCGGGTAATACACTACGTAGAAATAACCTATTCCGCTAGACTGCGATGGCTCGGATTACTTGGACAATGTTAGATAACATACCCTCATATTACCATGTGTGGCACCCACACAGAGCCTACGGTATCTACCTCTGCGAGAGCAATGGGCATCTGGGAACAAAGAGTATTAATAAGAAATATCTTTAAGGCACACGGTTGCATTGCATGCATGCATCACATTTTAGGCTTTGCAAACATTGCAGTACTAGAGAGAGACTCAGGCGTTTTTAGCACCAGCCATATATGCTTGCGCCTCTATTTTGTAAATATGCCTGTGTTCACCAGTTGACATGTGCACAGCCAATCTCCGTGCAGCTACAGGGCTTAACAACACTAGGATACAAGTCGGAACGAGCTAAAGTACCACAACAGTGGTGTAATGAGGATCTTGACGATAACAATCTTAACATGGCGCCAGTCCCAGCAAAGTCTTGGCAGGAATGTGACACGTGGGTGGGTGGGGATATGAAAGCCGATTTCTGATAGAGGAGCTTCAACGAGATGAGATGACCTTATTGTCGCCTCAAGTAGCACGAGTCGAGTCACAATCCTCATCATTCGATGACGCAGGAGGGAAGACGGTGGGGAGGGTTCTAATGAGGAGCTCGAATGAGGTAAAGGTGATGACTGCAGCAGGTGTTGTTCTGAAGAGGTTTGTCACACACCCTCGATAAAACCCTCGAATGCCTTCCTCCTTGAATATCTGAACAGGGGTTAAAAAAGAGAGGAGATGATTTAAGCCTGTTACAAATTTGGAGCTCCAAATTGCTCCGATAAAATCCAAGAACGATTTCCTCCTTGAACACGCGAAATAAC